ATATATATATAGATGAATATATATATATGAACATATTATATATATATGTTATATATATATATATATATCTATATATCTATCTATCTCCCTACGTTCTCTATCTCTCTCTCTCTCTCTCTCTATATATATATATATATATATATATATATATACACACACACACACACACACATATATATATATATATATATATATATATATATATATATATATATATATATATCACTACATTGGCTTTCTTTCTTTCTATCTCACGACGTTCAAACTTTATCTATCTGTATATTCACTCTATCTCCCTACGTTCATTATCTATCTATCTATCTATCTATCTATCTATCTGCATTATTATAGAGCAATTCTTTGCAACCAGTTCTCTCAGATTGTAACGATTATAATTTGATTTTAACTGGTTCACCAGACGTCCGACCCTGTACAAGACATGGCTAACTAACTAACGATCTATGCGCCTGTGCTGCATATATGTGGATATTCCCAAAACTGTTTTGTTCACGATAGAGAAGCCGATATTGGTCAGTCATGTTTGCTTCAGAACGTGTAAATCAGCTGCTGACCTTCAGGGTTCATCTCGAAGGATAGTGAAGAAAGAAAGAAAGAAAGAAAACTGATGTCGAATCAGCAAACAATGGAGACGACGATCATCACACAAAATGGGGCAATTAAAAAATATGCTTGCACGTTTGTAACATCTGAAAAACCTAACTAGAAAATACAACAAGCATAACATATATACACACACACAAACATACACACACACATCTATATCTAGAATTCTCAAAATGTATTTGTGTGTGTGTGTGTGTGTGTGTGTGTATGTATATCGGTGTAATCGGATGTTTATGCGTTTCTACAGTTTTCATCCGATTTCAATGAAATATGTTTGGTTTGATAGATAATTCTTCAGTGCCAGTTTTTAGTTCAAATTGGCTGGAAAAAAAATTACAACCTTGAAGGTGATAAATCGAAAAAACTGATTTTTTTACAATTTGCACAAAAATCAAAGACAAGATTTAATGTCTGTAAAAAACAGCATACAATCAATTTAGGGAGTTGAAATCTCACGTGAAAGATTATTAGAATTATAAAAACAAATATATTATAAATAAAAATTATCGTATATTATTATTATGATAGTCCATGGAAGAGGTTTCTTCATTGCAGGATTGAGAATGCAAAAACGGCCCTTTTCAGAGCCACCTACCATTCAAATTGTTACCCCCCATCCCATTTGGGGATGTGCATCAGTTGCACCCAATTGTTGTTACTAAGATTTTCGGGTGGGTTAACTTTAAAATTAAACTGTTCCAATTGAACGGCAAAAATTCCCAGTAATGAAACACCCAGTCGAAGACAGGTTATACTGCTAGTACATAGATATATATATATATATATATATATATATATATATATATATATATATATATATATATATATGTGTGTGTGTGTGTGTGTGTGTGTGTGTGTGTGTGTGTGTGTGTGTGAAAAGTGTATATAAATATAAATAAAATATATATGTATAATTATTTATATATTATATACGCGATACTTATTAGAAAGCGCTCAATATCAGAGATAGAGCTAACATATTTGGTTGGATAGTCTGACGATCGCTAAAGCGTGAAACCCAGGGTCACAAACTCACATCTATCCAACCAAAAATATATATATATATATATATATATATATATATATATATATATATATGTGCGTGTGTGTGCGTTCCATTTAAAAGCAACAGACAAGGTACTGCGATTAAGCTTTTTATTTCTTTAATTTTTCTTGTGTTTAAACAAGTGTTTTCTTTTCTGGACACATAGTGTGTAGAAACCGTCCAAATGTTCTATAAGTCCGTGCACTTTCGGCTCTACTTTTAGCCATTATCAAGGATGATTTTATTTTTACTTTTTCAGCTGGACTTTCCAACAAGTCAATGATCTGAAGCATCAAAGTCCAACAATTATTTTAAGACATTTTTATGTTTATACATTCTTTCTTTCATAATGTGTGACGTCATTTGTTTACATCTGGATACGCATTGAGCAGATATGAATGTACGTGGGTGAATAATGGAAGATTGTAGTTTAAAAACAGTAAAATCGACCTTGCTAATCGAAACGCTCCTCTGTGGCTCAATCGGTAAAAGCACGTCAGGCTATATGATGGTTCCGTATAGGATACAGGTTCGATTCCTGTCGGAGGCCGAATATTTTCTATGACAATTTCTCGGACATTCAGGCCGGTGAATGTTGTTTATTATAAACAGAGCATTTACTTAAATATTTGTATCTATAAAAATGTCTTTTTTTATAAAAATGTCTTTTTTTTTAATTTATTTATTTATATATATATATATATATGTGTGTGTGTGTGTGTGTGTGTGTGCGTGTGTGTGTGTTCGATATTTAATCGGTCATCGTAACACCATAGTAAGTTGACTTTTTCAGAGAAATCGAACAGAAATTAGATTGATGACATTTCCAACCTTCAGTCTCTTATTGGCGCGAAAAATCGATTTTTGTTCTCAATATTTTCGCTGAATCGCGTGCCGAAATGACACATAACTTCTTTTCCCACCGTAAAATTGTTTTCTCTTCATTAAACCGTTTCACATCTTTGAGGATGATGCGCACGAAAAAGTGACAAGCGATGAAGTCAACGTGATGGAACATCGACAAGCGCAACGTAATTAAAATCATTTTCCTTTGAAAAAGGTGACTGCTTCATCTCCTTTTTTTTCTTGTATCCAAATACACATGAATTAATGAGCAAAGTAGCGACCAATCGTTTCAAACGAAATGGGTCTCGTGACCGTTAATCTTGGCGCGAGATCTCTATAGACAGCGCGTAACGTAAGCTTAGCAGGGTTCTGTGTCAAAGAACGATAGAAGGGGAATCGTACGCCAGTCTTTTGACTGACTTCGGAATTATCTCTCTTCTAAGACCAATAATTGGCTTTAAGAGGAAACACACAACCATACCAGCTACTAAACAGCTCTTTCTTTACAAGGATGAATCAATAATCTTATAAAACAGACTCAACTAGTTTTGATCGGACATTTTCATAGAATTATGTTGGATATTTGCGATTAATTTAATAGTTTAACTATTGTTCGCTGCAATAAAAACACTAAGATACAGTCACGGTCGAATGTTACTGAATAGGGCTATATTAGTGTTTCATATTATCAGGATATTCAATATAGGCAAATGTTGATCCTCGGCTTGAAAGAATGTAGTGATCATGGAAACTTCCTCTTGGATGTGTTTCAATTATTATAACAGTCCTGAAGAAGATGTCTAAGTGGAACTTCCTCTTCATAAATGGAATATGAAGTGAATGAAGATGAATTGACTCAGTGTGTCTAGCATGGTATGTCTTTGCTGTGATAGTCTGGACTGGTGGGCGGAGAGTTCTTATGTACATCTGAAATTAGTACTAAAGCATTCTGTTTCTGGAGAGGATTTGAAAGGGTTGAAAAGAATCTATCATTGCATAAGGCAGCGTAAATGTTTTCGAAATCGGTCGAAGCTTGAAAGTAAGAATTGGACAATTTCGGTCTAGATGTGACAGGAATACTCCATTTTTGGTTCAATACAACTCTTGTAGAGATAGAAGACGGCAAGAGGAATCTGCTGCTTTCTGGTGCGGTATAAGACCCGACTATTTATATGAGTTCCAATAGACAGTTACATCAAGGAGTTCCATTGAGAGTAGAACCTTCCATCTTGACAGGAAAATATTCAGGATCTGCTCGGGGATGATGAAATTTTACTAGATTGGTTTTCTTCCATAGGGCTGTTAAAGGTTGATCTGATACAACGGAAAAACTTCAGAAAATCAAATACTACTGAAATCCTATTACGGACAACTAATCGACAGTCGAGACAATAGTGTGTGGGCGTGATGAAAATCAGATGCAATCACGGATGATGCAATATTTTTCAAAGCCAAACAAATTTCATTATACACCCCGAAAATAGATCATCTTACTGCACACCACTGCAAATGATTTAATCGGAGTAATAAATAGAAATCGATTACACCCTATCACTCCACTGGGTCTAAAACTGAACGTATGTTGAAAGAAAGGAGTCCAAAGCGGTTGCTTCAATTAATTTACACAAGGATGTACATATGATAATGAATCGTAAATCACCCTCGTATACTATATAATAAAAAAAAAAACGATTCCAAATATTTAATGTCATCATCATATTTTTATATCATATATATATATATATATATATATATATATATATATATATATATATATATATACTAAAAAGAGGCAGAGTTATAAAATAAAACGTCTACAAGAAAAAAAAAAAAACAGAAAAAAACATGATCTCAAAAAAGACAAAAGGTAAGGTCGAAGGCTCTCCGTCACAAACATTCGGGAAATATACATACGCACTGAACCATAAAATACGCAAAACATTTTTTTCTTTTTTTTTCGTCATTCTTTATGAAATATGTATTAATTAAAAACTGTAACGTCTAAGCCGATATGTTCTTCAGCCTTTTTAGTATTTTCTTTAATTCTGAAAGACTGTTGTCATCACTCCACAAGTTATTTAGACAAATATTATCCTCCTTTTCCTCATCACAAGTTCCGTCAAAGTATTGCAAACAATAATTCTTTCCATATCAATCATTCGATTTTTTTAAAATTTAAACAGAATGGTATAGACGTAGACAGAATTGTATAGACTTGTATTTAATTTTCTTTATTAAAGTTTTTTATTTTTATTTTTTTTAGTCAGTTTTTATGTTTTAGTGAATTTCGAAACTGGCCATTATTCATCCCCCGCCCCCCACACACCGATGCCACGAAACGCAATAAATCTCTTCCGGTTATTGGGAAAAGAGGAAAAGTCTGACGTCAGATTGTGCAACAATCTAAGGCGATTACCATTTCTGTCAATAATCGATTAAACAAATGACAGAGGATCAAAGATGGCACCGAAATCGAAGATGTTTTCTAAATTACTTTGTGCTTCTTAAATATTTTCTCGTCAGGTGGAATGACACAATTTTTACGGTAAAGAAATAATTTAATGTGAACTTTGTTGTTCTTTAGATAATCAGAGGTGGTTATTTCATCATAGATAGCAATACACACAGATAGATAGATAGATAGATAGATAGATAGATAGATAGATAGATAGATATGAACAGAATGAGATAGATATGAACAGAATGAGATAGATATGAACAGAATATAGATAGATAGATAGATAGATAGATAGATAGATAGATAGATATGAAGAGAATGAGACAGATAGATATGAACATAGATAGATAGATAGATAGATAGATAGATAGATAGATAGATAGATATGAACAGAATGAGATAGATAGATAGATAGATAGATAGATAGATAGGAACAGACTGAGATAGATAGATAGATAGATAGATAGATAGATAGATATAAAGAGAATGAGGCAGATAGATATGAACATAGATAGATAGATAGATAGATAGATAGATAGATAGATAGATAGATAGATATGAACAGACTGGGGTAGATAGATAGATAGATAGATAGATAGATAGATAGATAGATAGATAGATAGATAGATAGATAGATAGATATGAACAGAAGGACATACTATGAAAACGTATTGCTGGTGATTTTTCATGTTTTGACACCAATTAGCTTGCTTTCACTATATGGCCATATGTGGGACCCTAATAGGTGCTATCACTCCCGATAGATGTGAATAAATAGATAGATAAAACTAGATACATAAAACTAGGTAGATAAAAATCAATAGATAAAATTGAATAATTACAAATAGGGAAAAGTGATACTTGAATTTGCCCAACTGACTGAAATAATTGATAACATTTTTTTCCTCCATCTTTTAGTTTCTTTACGCAATTCTTGAATAAAAAGTTAAGACTTGATTTTTTTTCTGCTTTTCTTATCTTTTGTGTCCAAAGCAGGATTTGAATAGACTTCGTTGTTGTAGCATCTTTTCTTTTCCACAATCTGTCATTCCAGGATTCTCTAAGAACAATTTCCAATTTTCCTTTCCAGCCATCATCCAAAACGAGAAGTTGATTTCTTATACTGAAATATGCGAGATCACAGACCGTCATTCAAAGAATGTTAAATTCAATGAAATATTTATTTTCCTTCGACACCATATTAACTTTCGCCTGCCTTTCAATTTTATAGGGTCTTGAGTGTTTACATAATGTCTTGTTTATATATATATATATATATATATATATATATATATGACAATAGGAAAACTGTAGTAGTTGCTGACGCGTTTCGTCCAATGTGGACTTTTGTCTCCTACTCCCATACATACACTCTCACTAAGATTTTATTTTTTATACACGCGTCAGCAACTACTACAGATTTCTTATTGCCATTTATATTTATAAATATTGTCTTTTCTACAGGTTAACTCTGAGAAATTTTCATATATATAAATTTTCATATATATATAACAATTCTCAAGAAGATAGAATCCAGGTAGAACTCAATGTCCAGGACAGAGTAAGATTATAATAAAAAGGCTCAAACACTAATATTCCATGGTCATAATTTATTACAATGAAATCGTAATTACGATCCAATTCACCAGACCTAAAATTTCAAAAAGAAATCGGAAAAAATAACTCCGGGTATAAAAAATAAAATTTTAGTGAGAGTGTATGTATGAGAGTGGGAGACAATATCCTAACCTAAAATGCAATCTGATTAGATAATTACGATCACGTGATCGGGAATACCATAATTGATTATCATATGCTTCTGTTGTCAAAAGCTGTGAGTGTCAGAGTTCAGAGAGCATGGCAACAAAGTATTAAGTTCATTGGCAACAAAGTTCAAGTGTCAGGGATTTTGTTAGAGCATACTGCCAATTCCTATATATATATATATATATATATTCCAAGCGTCTACAATAGGGATTGGTCAGCCGCCCTAATAGACAGGTATCCCTGAATACCAGTGGTCAGATATATATATATATATATATATATATATATATATATATATATATATAGCTGTTAACCAATCCCTACTGTAGACGCTTGCTCAGGCGCATTTTGTGTTTATTCAATACCCACATGTGGTTTATACTGCAACTATGCTGAGAAAACCTTAATTACAGTTTCTGGAAAAGAATATGTTATCTAGCGTGATCAACAATTTGAACAGGGCCAGCACGCTCAAGCCCTCGGCCACAATGACGTCTGACTTCGTGCTAGCACAGCTATCGACGCCCCCAATATATATATATATATATAAAAGACATTTTTATACCTTTTTTTATAGATACAAATATTTAAGTAAATGCTATGTTTATAATAAACAGTATTAACAACATTTACTGGCCTGAATGTCTGAGAAATTTTCATAGAAAATATTCGCTCTCTGACAGGAATCGAACCTGTATCCTATACGGAACCGTCATTTAGCCTGACGTGGCTTAACTGATTGAGCCACAGAGGATCGTTCGGTTAGCATAGGCCGATTTTACTGCTAACCGAATAAATAAATATGTGTTTGGATTATGTTATTAATACTGTTTATTATAAACAAAGCATTTACTTAATTATTTTCATCTATAAAAAAAGAATGTATTTCCCCCATATATCGGTATCTTTCTAAATCATTTCAAATATTGTTTTCCATCACTTTCAACAGAGAAAGGATGCGATTGTTCCATTATAGTATAAATATATTAAATGACACTTTCAGTTGTGTACAAAATTTTTTCCCCTATTTTCTGCAAGCCAAAAATACATTAGAAAAGAAATCATCACATTTAAGAAAATCACGAATTCAATTTTCGACACTTTATTTTAATGAAAGACTCTACTTTGATGCTACGATCGTTACATCAACAAGACGATGATTAAGATAAGAAAATTACTCCTTTGTCTTGTAAATTAATATAATAGTTCTTTCTTCATTAATACAATAAAGTAATGCTGGCCAACGTCGTAAAAAGATCACAAATCAATGAATCAAATTAGTCTATTTACTTATATCTATAAAATGAAAAGAAAAAAAATTCTTATACACATAAGCACCCCCTTTTCAGAAACGAAGATTTTTCCTCTTCGACTAAAATTCAAGGATTCTGCTTTAAACGTTTAAATGTTTTCCTTTTCAGATTTGTAAATTCAAATTAATACCAATAGGCATAATGTACGCTAAAGCATTTACCACATTTGATTGCATATAAGACGCACTCTCATTTCCACAGGGCATTTTCAAGAAAATCCTTTTGTATTTAAGCGTGTAATGCTTATGTGACACCATTTAGGGTTGATAGAAGGAGAAAAGAAAAAGGAAAAAAACAAAAAAAAAGAAAGGCGAGAGTTAAATTTAGATGATAAAAAAAGTCATCACGAAAGGGACATTAAGCGGTGTTATTTTGACAAGGAAAAATGGTGAATATTTTTATTGCCATTGTCGAGAATTCTAAATAGATAAACATTTAACTGTGTCACGGGAATGCCATTTGGGGCTTCCACAGAATTCTAAATAGATAAAAATTTAATAGGTTGTCCGTTGACCACACACGAGTTGCAAAAACAAAAGACCAAACCATAGGTTAAGTCTTTGTCGATGGGAAGATATCGTTGGACAAGGCATCTGGGTTGTGTTGGAATTTGACTATGACAGCGAAACTATTTTATCAGAAATTGGCGAAAAGTTCGTTGACGACTTCCATATGAATTCGGCTGTGAATTGGCGAAATTGTTTTATCGTATCAGTGGTTGGCGCCGGAGAGTGAGTGTGTCTGGTTGTCCACCCACTTGTTAATTGGCGAAAATCTCATTGATAGGTACCAGGTGACATTGAGGATAAGAGCTGCGATTAAGGGACCACACTACGAAAGAAAAGAGAAAGAACGAAGGAAAAAGGAAAAGGAAAATGAAAAGAACAGATAATTTTTTTTCTTCGAGCATGATATTTTTTTCTTGAAACCAAGGCTAGTCTAGTCACACCCACACTGCTGAGCGCCCATCGGATGAATGTTAACGAGAGACAGGCGGATGTGATCATGCGATGCAGGGGGAGGCCTGCGACCACCCATTGAGAGGATAGGTATGAGATGTCACTGCGAGAGAGAGGGAAAACCGTTGACGCCCTCTGAGGATATGGTGAGATACCCATATGAGAACAGAAGAAGGTGGGAGTAGGAGAAAACTTCCAAAAATGGAAAGGAGTGGAAATTTCCTGACCGAAAACAAAGAAGTGAACTGTGGATTTAGAATTATCAAGGAACCTCAAACCCCGACGAGCCCACCCCGGTTTTGGGTCGGCGTCCATATAAGCAAAGTCGCAGCGAGCGAAAATCAGTTCGAGTTCGAGTTTTTCCAGTTTCAGTTCTAGTTAAGTTCCAAGCAGTTGCAGTGAGCTGAAAGCACTGAAGATCGCCTCGCAGAGCTGACTTGAAATATTTACGCAATCCCGAACTCATCTTCTAACCAAGAACAATTTATTTTTGAAGAACGACTTAGACTCATACTACCAAAACAAGTTTTACGAATTTCGCCTGAAGACACACCAAGAATCAGTTTCTTAAAAGAACAAACAACTTAAGATGTTAAGAATCGCCTAACAAAAACAACGTGTCACGTATCCATATAGCGGGTTGGGAAATAGACGCAGTCCTGTATCCAGCAACCAGATATAAAATATTGTTATCATTTTTTAACACATTTGAACTTCACGAGTTGTTATTTTATTTTCTGTTACATACTTGTGCGATATCACCCTTGTTCGAACTCGACTTGCAGTACAGCCCAGCGACTGATTGATTTCGTCTGCCTAGATCAATTCACAACGTGGGTAGGTAGACTGGATATCAAAGTAGTTACTTCGGTAACCAGACGTTGGATGCGAGTTGGCAACGACGAGGCTGATATCGAATCTAACCAGATTCCCATCCGAATCACCAAAAGGTTAGAACGTCACATTAGGGTGCCGCGACCAATACCAAGCCAGTTGGTCGTCACAGGACGGGACAACACGACTGACGCAAACAGGCGGACGTCACGTTTGGAGCGGCGACACTCAGTGGGGAGGGGGGGCGTCACACTTAAAACAAGATATCAATACATTAAAAAAAACATTTCAAAGCATTTTAAGTATAGTAGAAAAAATACTGTATATAAAACATTTGGAATATGTCTATATTTCTGAGATGAGGTATTATGTACATTATTTACATTATTCGGACTATTGTCCTCATCTTTGTCGCCATATTTATCACAACGTTTCGGCCGTTGTACGCTCCAGCCTTCTTCAGGTGGTTGGAATGTCGAACTGAACCCTTTATTTCGCTCACTGGGGTAGACTGTTCTACTCCCACGTGCTATGTTTAATGGTTGTCAGTTATCAGTTATCTCCTGTCCCCTCCCCTCTCCAAGTTCTCCACTTAATCGGGTATTGAACTCACACTCTTTGGGTCCTGTCACTGGATCTAACTTTTTTTTTTTCTTTCTTCAGATGAAAATCTCTGCGTGTTGGGACATGTCCGGATGGAGGATAGAATACACGGAGGTACTCAAAAAACAACACTCTACACGGAAAGTTCCAACGGAAGAAAATCTGGGTGCCCATAACTTCGAGGACGTTTGTAAACAAAACATCAATTTGGTTAATATCAAAACCTGCCATCTGGGCAAACACTGCTCAACACTGTCTTTAATAGCGGCGATGGATCTCCGATGGGCTGTTTGCATATGTGAACAGGTTAGTTCATTACAGAGGCCAAGAGAGCAAGAAGAGCAGGACCGGCATCACTGGTACTGACCGATACATGCAACATCTGTGGCCAACTCTACATCTCACACTTGGTACTTTGCGGCTACATTCGATAGTACATGAGAATCCGAATCTCGAGCATGGTGAACTTCCTAAACTGGGATGCCGAAGAAGATATAAAAAGAAATCTCGCAATGAAGATAAATCTAAAACCATACATCAAACTATATACGCATTCACTTCTTTGTCCGCTTAGTATGACGGTGAGTTCTCTAAGGTCTTAAGGTTTTGTCCCCCTGTTTAGTCTTTTACCATTTCAATTGTATCCCTTTCTTCTGTATCTTACAGTTGATTAATAATGAGTGTTTACTGAAGTATATTTAGGACTGATAGATATGTTTTTACCACCGATAGTTAATTTTACATTATTAAGCAACCCGTTAACCTCGTGAGATAAGGTAGGACTCAAAATTCAGTCCTTACGTAATGAGACTAGAGTGACTTCTTCAGAGCGCATGCGTGGGCGATGGTATATATAAACCGTGCTCTACCAAGGCTACATATATCTACTACTAGCAGGTAAGCCCGGCGTTGCCCGGGGATGTAAAAGTAAGAGATAGATCAAGTATCGACCATCATAAAGACTGAAAAATAAAATTGACAAAGATTATTGTTTAAGGCTGACGGACACGCATGTCTTAATTACTTTTTTGTTTTGTTTTGTTTTTTTTTTGTATTTTTTTTACGAATTGATCAAACCCAAACTCAAACAAAAACATTGTTTTCAATCGTTATGAGTTTACCGATTGAATAGAATTTTATTATAAACAATTGTCTTGTAAATGGAATTTTTAAAGAATTCTGAATGTAAAAATAACGAAAAAAGTTTGTACGACAATAAGAAACACTACCTGCCAAAAAAAAGTGAAGTTTTGTTGAAATCGGTTGAAAAATGTAGGAAATCCGATCCCATATATAAACGAACACACACACACACACACACATACACACAAACAACCAACCTGTGTTTTATAATAAGTATAACTTGATAACTCGATATTAATAAGTATAACTCAATATGAGTTGTCCCCCTTTCATTAATGCCTCTTAATCGTGTTTTAAATTGATTTCGTGCAAAAACAATTGTGTTTTTCCAATTTTTGTCGCTGTCAGAACCACCGCAAGGTGATTTTACGTAGTCCTGTGAAGTTTTGTTGAAATCAGTTGAAAAATGTAGGAAATCCGATCCAATATATAAACGTACAGACACACACAATCTGCATTTTATAATAAGTAAGATCACCCGTAAAAAGATCCCAAGGGATTCCACTCAGACATATCTGTTTGGATTTACTCCGATAATCGTGTTTGGATATGACCGCAAGGCAGTGGAGGTTTACAATCAGAGTTTTAAACTGCCTTTCGGGGCTGTTGAGGTCCATCTATCTGAACTCCAGTTGTCCACCTTCGCCCGTTCCCCGGCTTGGGGGCTATTTCAGCTGCATGACACGTGGGAGCTTATATGAAAACCTTTGGAACATAGATTATGTACATTATTTACATTATTCGATTATTGTCCTCATATTTGTCGCCATGTTTATTACAACGTTTCGGCCGTTGTACGGTTGGAATGTCGAATTGAACCCTTTATTTTGCTCACGAGCCATGTTTAATGGATGTCAGTTATCTCCGGTTAATTTCCCTCTGAAAGTTCTCCACCGCCTTAAACAAGTATTGAACTCATACTCTGTGGGTCCTGTCACGGGATCTAACTAACGCTTTTATCCACTGTGCCATGTGTCCTTGAGGACATCTGTGTATGAATTTCTGATTATTATAAATCATTTTTTACCAGTGCTCATATTGCAAGTTTTCCTGTTATCATTTCATATTTTACCAGAGCTCATATTGGAATATTTGTTGTTCTTATCGCTTTTCTCTGGCACTCCATATTACTGCTTCCCATGTTGTATTCCTTTCTATGCTTGGCACCTGGAACTAGAATAGTCTACATCAGTGAGCAAAATAAAGGTTTCAGTTTGACATTTCAACCATCTGAAGAATACCGGAGCGTACAACGGCCGAAATGGCGACAAAGATGAGGACAATAGTCCGAATAATGTAAATAATGTACATAATACCTCATCTCAGAAATATAGACTGATACTGAAAGGCCGAAACGTTGTGATAAATACGGCAACAAAGATGAGGACAATAGTTCGAATAATGTAAATAGTGTACATAATGCCTCATCTTAGAAATATAGACTGATACTGAACTGCCGAAACGTTGTAATAAATATGGCGACAAAGATGAGGACAATAGTCCGAATAATGTAAATAATGTACATAATGCCTCATCTTAGAAATATAGACAGATACTGAACTGCCGAAACGTTGTAATAAATATGGCGACAAAGATGGGGACAATAGTCCGAATAATGTAAATAATGTACATAATACCTCATCTCAGAAATATAGACACATACTGAAGGGCCGAAACGTTGTAATAAATATGGCGACAAAGATGAGGACAATAGTCTGAATAATGTAAATAGTGTACATAATACCTCATCTCAGAAATATAGACAGATACTGAAAGGCCGAAACGTTGTAATAAATATGGCGACAAAGATGAAGACGATAGTCCGAATAATGTAAATAGTGTACATAATACCTCATCTCAGAAATATAGACAGATACTGAAAGGCCGAAACGTTGTAATAAATATGGCGTCAAAGATGAAGACGATAGTCCGAATAATGTAAATAGTGTACATAATACCTCATCTCAGAAATATAGACAGATACTGAAAGGCCGAAACGTTGTAATAAATATGGCGTCAAAGATGGAGACAATAGTCCGAATAATGTAAATAGTGTACATAATGCCTCATCTTAGAAATATAGACTGATACTGAACTGCCGAAACGTTGTAATAAATATGGCGACAAAGATGAAGACGATAGTCCGAATAATGTAAATAATGTACATAATGCCTCATCTTAGAAATATAGACAGATACTGAAAGTCCGAAACGTTGTAATAAATATGGCGACAAAGATGAGGACAATGGTCCGAATAATGTAAATAGTGTACATAATACCTCATCTCAGAAATATAGACAGATACTGAAAGGCCGAAACGTTGTAATAAATATGGCGTCAAAGATGAAGACGATAGTCCGAATAATGTAAATAGTGTACATAATACCTCATCTCAGAAATATAGACAGATACTGAAAGGCCGAAACGTTGTAATAAATATGGCGTCAAAGATGAAGACGATAGTCCGAATAATGTAAATAGTGTACATAATACCTCATCTCAGAAATATAGACAGATACTGAAAGGCCGAAACGTTGTAAAAAATATGGCGTCAAAGATGGAGACAATAGTCCGAATAATGTAAATAGTGTACATAATACCTCATCTCAGAAATGTAGATAGATACTGAAAGGCCGAAACGTTGTAATAAATATGGCGTCAAAGATGAAGATGATAGTCCGAATAATGTAAATAGTGTACATAATACATCATCTCAGAAATATAGACAGATACTGAAAGGCCGAAATGTTGTAATAAATATGGCGTCAAAGATGAAGACGATAGTCCGAATAATGTAAATAGTGTACATAATACCTCATCTCAGAAATATAAACAGATACTGAAAGGCCGAAACGTTGTAATAAATATGGCGTCAAAGATGAAGACGATAGTCCGAATAATGTAAATAGTGTACATAATACCTCATCTCAGAAATATAAACAGATACTGAGAGATCGAAAGAAAAAAAATTAGATTTGTTTCTTTATTTTCTTAGGATTTAGAAACTTCTAAAAAGTAAATAAGGAAACTTGTATTGGTGACAGGAAGCCTTGATAGACTAATGTGTATATCCGTATCGGAAATAATCTCTTTCAAAGTTAATCCTTTCATCAGGTGATATATTAAAGCTTATAAATCGGATATAAATTCTACAAACGAAATTAAGGAAAATTCTCTATTTCTCTCTCTTACTTTTTCTCTTTCTCTCTTTCGTACTCTCTGTCTTTATTTCTTTCATTCTTCCTTACTCTCTCTTTCTCTCTCTCTCTCTCTCTCTCTCTCTGTAGGATTCGCTCGTGTGTGTAATGTCTACACACGAAATTAAGAAAAATTCTATCTCTCTATTTCTCTCTTTTTCTTTTTTCTCTCTTTCGTACTCTGTCGTTCTTTCTTTCATTCTTCTTACTCTCTATCCCCTTCTCTCTCTACCCTCACCCATCTCTCTCTCTCTCTCTCTCTCTCTCTCTCTCTTCCTCTGTAACATTCTGCTCGCGTGTGTAAAGTCTACACACGAAATTATGGAAAATTCTCTGTCTCTCTGTCTCTGTCTCTGTCTCTCTCTCTATATATATATATATATATATATATTTATATATATCTTTTCTTTTTTTCTCTTTCTCTCTTTCGTACTCTCTGTCTTCCCTTCTCTTTTTACCCTCCCCCATCTCTCTCTCTTTCGTACTCTCTTTCTTTCATTCTTCCTTACTCTTTCTCTCTCTTCCCTTCTCTTTTTACCCTCCCCATCTCTCTCTCTCTCTTTCGTACTCTCTTTCTTTCATTCTTCCTTACTCTTTCTCTCTCTTTCCTTCTCTTTTTACCCTCCCCATCTCTCTCTCTCTCTCTCTCTCTCTCTCTCTGTAGATCTTTCGGTTATAATTCCTCAACTCTGAACAGAAAATTATTCTTTTTTTTTTGTCTTCATTCTACACTGAATGACATTTATTCAGCATTGTTTCAAACACTGACGAACCCCACGAAGACAATTTCAAAAACCGCCTTCAATTTAATGTTTCGCTAAAGAATTCTGTTCTAACAAAGATGTCTTAAATAACAAGACCAACGGAATTTTCAAATCAGACTAGTTTCTAGCCTCGACTTTTGCATAAGTTTAGAAATTAATAAGACACAAATTACGTAAATGGGTTCCGCATGAAATTAGAAAAGAACATCAATTAGAGTTTAAACACCTTCTATTTTCTCTTTCTGGAAAGAAAGTGTTATATCGTGGATAATACGATATGAGCAACCAGGTAATTCCGAGTGGAAAGATTACGTTAAGCACAGGAATTAGGTAAAACAAATAACATGGGTTTTATTGTATGGAAAGTACAACGAGTAAATGTTCTTAATAATAATAATAAGGCAAACGGGAAATACGTCACGGAGTCCCGTAGTGGTACTGCTACTAAAATACTTCATCACGTCTTTTAGTTTCTCCTCATTCACGCCTCTTTAGACTGACCAATCACTGTCGGGGTATGATAGGTTGTTCCACTATAACAGAAAGAAATCCTTTTTTTCTTTCTTTTTTTTTTACCATTTCATCAAAAGCAAGGAAATAAAGCCGTTAAGATGTAGAGGTTTACTGAGTGTGAAAGAATATGAGAAAAAGAAAAAATATTATTAAGGAAAGAGGACAATAAAAGAACAGAAATTAAGAAGACAGAAGATAACGATTGACATTGCATTTAAATTTTTCAAGATCAAAGATCGACTGCAAAGCAAGAAAGCGGAAGAGAATGCGACAGAAGAAAATGTTAGCAAAGAACTTACGGTTACATTTAGCAATTTCAACTGAAAAACAATGAGACCTATCTGCCAATCTAGCACAGTGTTTAAATTCGTAAAGTCAAGGTACTGAAGAGGAAAGCTCATCAGAACAATTACCATGAAAATATTTATAGAAATGGCACAGGAAAGCTATATTACGACGATGGGAAAAGGACGGAAGCCGAGATGCCAAGTCAGGACGAATAACTTTGCAGATTCTTCTTTAGATTTTATTAAGAATCTCTAAATACATAGCAGAAGCATCAGATATCATTATAATCAAAACTGTTTCGATTCGAGATCATGGATTAACACGTTCTCTCATCTTCAGTGACATTGTATACTGATTCGACAATATATTGCCACCCTTCTCTGTCCTCTGCAAGTTTGTGGATACGTTGCAGATCTTGCTTGATTATAAACTTCTCCAAAGGAAAAATGGGATCTTTCTGCCTTGTTCTTTGAATGTCTCTGTTCAGCGTTGTGACTATGGTGGTTCTTGAATCACCTCTGAACGTTTGAAAGACAGCTTTTCAAAGTAAAACTCCATAGATTTGTTAGCTGGGCATTCTGGATCCATTTTGTTTGTTGCTATTCGTATGTTTTTTCTTGAAGAGTGAGCTGTATAACAGACACACGTTATTTCCATTATTCGGACTATTGTCCTCATCTTTGTCGCCATATTTATTACAACGTTTCGGCCGTTGTACGCTCCGGCTTTCTTCAGGTGGTTGGAATGTCGAACTGAACCCTTTATTTCGTTTTATCCACTGTGCCATGTGTCCTCAAGTGGAAAAGTCGTTGGTTAGATCCAGTGACAGGACCCAAAGAGTGTGAGTTCAATACCTGGTTAAGGCAGTGGAGAACTTTCAGAGGGGAATTAACAGAAGATAACTGATAACTGACATCCATGGAACTAGAACAGTCTACACCAGTGAGCGAAATAAAGGGTTCAGTTCGACATTCCAACCACCCGAAGAAGGCCGGAGCGTACAACGGCCGAAACGTAATAAATATGGCGACAAAGATGAGGACAATAGTCCGAATAATGTAAATAATGTATATAGTACCTCATCTCATTAATATAGACAGATACTACAGACACACGGTCTGATATTTTCCAACATTGATGTACGTTATTCCTCACTTTACTCTTGACAACAAATTCGTTTCCATAATGTTTGCAATCTGTCTCTAAACATATCAGCTGGTGTTTGTTTTTGCCCATGTTGCTGTTCAGACCAGGTTTAATTTTTCATTTTCCGAATATTGGCTTACCCAATAGACAACGTCTTAAATAAGTAGTTACTATGTAGCAGAAACTGAAGCAGCCATTACCCACTTTCAGTAATATCCAAAGCATAGCCTAATGGTAGATTTATAAATATGTAAGATAGAAAAGCCAACTTTCCTAGCAGCAGACCTCGCAATTGATACAATTGTACTTTATGTTAATCTGAAAAGGTGCCGTAAATCACTCTCGTGGAGGGTAGCAGTAGCTATGCAAAGGCAAAAATGCTTTCTCTTAGACGATTAATGAGAGAATTATCGTTTTTGAGGCGTTAAAATTAACAAGACATTCTTGTTCTAGATTGTCTGTGATTCTTGAAATCAGTTGCCAATTTGACCTGATTGAACCGATCAGACTTACAGTCAACGATGAAATCATTCGTGCACCGATCAATATTTTTATCCATTTCTCAGAATCTAATGCCCGTATAATGCCAAATATTTTTAATATGTTAATAAGCACAAGAAAGGAATACAAAACTCAATTTTCAGAACAAAAACGCGTAACCATTGAAGAATGGAAGAAAATTCCAGAAAAACTTGTTTAAATCTTACCAAAAACTTTAGAAAACGATTGCAGCAAGTTATAAAGATGAGAGTTCATTATTAATATTATGAAAATTTTTCAATTTTTTCTATTTTTCATACTGTACGCATAATTTTGTGTCTCCTCCTATTTTGCATAATTCGCCTGAGTTTTACAATTCTTTTCTTATGCTTATTAAAATATAAAAACCTGGCATCATACGGGCATCTGAGAAATTGGATAAAAATATTCAAAATTAATGGGTGAACGAAAAATTTTGGCGTTGACTGTACCCCAAAGACAGTAGTAAATTGTTGTGATATCAGCAGAGTCAAGGACTGATGGGAAGGTCGGTGATGAGAATTAATAACAAACTTTCACCAGGCATAGAGCCCTGGGAGATACCCGCATTAAGGCAAGACAGATTCGGCGACATATTGTCAATACCGATAAAAATGGATTTATTAGGAAGATCGAAAAACAAAGAATATTGTGTCGAGATCCTAGATTACAAGGATATTAGTTCTTCTCTCAGTTTGATGTGATTCAAAAGCAATTCCTTATTACGGACTCGAAAAACAAAACTAGTAATAATATGACGAGTAACTGGCTCATTTGAATGACGTGATAGGAAAGAATACGTATTTTGAAAAAGAAAGAATTTATTTCAGTTTATCTATCTATGTCAGTTAACCTATCTTTATATCTATCTATCTATTTTGGTTTATCTATCTATCTCAGTTTATCTATCTTTTTATCTATCTCAGTTTATTAATCTATCTCTGTTTATCCATTAATCTATCTCAGTTTATTTATCTTTCTATCTACCTATCTCGGTTTATCTATCTCAGTTTATTTATCTATCTCGGTTTATCTATCTATCTATCTATCTATCTATCTATCTCTCTCTATATATATATCAGTTCATATCTATCTATCTATCTATCTCAGTTTATCTATCTCGGTTTATCGATCTCCCTCCCTTCCTCTCTCTCTCTATCTATCTATCCCCATTTCGTTCGTATCTATCTATATATCTATCTGTATGTATATATATATATATATATATATATCAGTTATTTACTATTCCACTTTGTCTTGTCTACGTCTTAATATAATGTACTTGTTCTAACACGCTTAAAGATTTCGTTTCTCTTTTTAAGTGTCCTCGGTATAACCATGACTTTTGTTTCTAACATTTATTAAACTTCTTTTATAACTTGATCATCTAATTCTCAAATACTTTCAAAACCGAAAAAATTCATAATTATTTCTGTCCTAGGTAAGTCATTTGTTTTCTGTTGTATTTTGACGAGCTACATTCAGCGGTTGTCCCTATTTATTCAGATAAAAAAATATTCAGTAGAAATGTAATAAGAAAAAGTAAAAAGCAATTCTTCTTTTGTATCGATTATAACTGATTTGAACAAATTGAGGCCAATTCACTTGCCAACTTCCTGAATCTTAATGATTTCTTTTACCAAACTTCGATTTTAAACCGTCTTTCTATCGTTTTTTTTTTTTAAAGAAAAACTGAGACGTTTTTTTTTTATCATTTTTTAAACGCTATACAGAATCCAACATTTATTTTCGATGCTCTAGTCGGCGTGACATTCTCACTCGAAATCTGATTCGAATAACAGGACTTCTTGGATTTTTTTCTTGTTAATCGGAATTGGAATCATTGTCCAGCATAAATAGTGATGACACAAAAGGAGCTTTATTTTTTCGGCAAATTCTTTTGTGGAGATAATCCAAAAAAACAAAACGAAAACCTTCTTGCTACCCGACGTAATTCTATCGTTTTCAGCGACACGAAGTCTTTTAGACAATTCCATTTCCAGATATTTTAAAAGGCTTTTATTATGGTTGCTGTCTATTGTTAGATTACACTTAATGACTTCAGGATAATCCTGTTTTTATAAGTTCTTTTATCTGACCTATTCTATTCTCCATACAATTAACGCAGACAATATATATATATATATATATATATATATATATATATATATATATATATATATATATATGGGGGTGTATGTATGTATATATTGTGAAGTGAAATAAAAAATTTGCACAAGATTCAATATGTAAGTACAGTTGACAAAAAGTAATACCTGTCTTTTATTAAACAATTAAAATATTCTTATTTGCAAGAATTCTTTTAGCTACAAACGATAAAATATCTCCAAGATCAGAGGAAAATCCATTTTTTTCTCCAAAATCCCCATTAAAAATGAATGACCCATTCAATATATGAAGAAATCAAAGACCTTTCATTTTATTTTTAATTTGATAAAGCTAAAATGTTTCAAATATTTACAGGGAGATTAAAGTATTGTTTATGAAAAGACCACACTTGATATAAGCACGGTAAAGAGAAGGGTCAGTAGAATTAAAGTAAGTCCTACTGTGAATGGAGAAACAGATCTTAATAACAGGCACCGAAGTGCCAGGCCTGGTGCTGGTTTGAATGATGATAATCCAAACAGAATAATTTTCTGAATATTATTTTTTGTTTTTTTTTATCTAAATTTAGACTAAAATTGAAAGCATCATTTATTGTCAATCATTTTTAATTAAGCAATTAAACTTTTTTATCAGTATATATATATATATATATATATATATATATATATATATATATGAAAATGATGAGTCTATATGGATATCATGAAACGGATTATCGTCACTCGGTGTGGATCTCATTTTCTTGATATTGATTTTGCTTTTATTTATATTTTTATTTGATGAAATGCTAGGAATGTTGATCAACAAATTTTGTTACGTATTTTCTTACACCTTCCCTTTTACACGTCCAAACTCTATTGTCTCGACGTTCCATTAGTTGTCTTACAACCATTGTCTGCGATTGACGTTGCTCCAAAGAAGCATACGAAAATTGTAACACTGCACGAACACAATGGCAAGCCTTACCAGTGAGCAAATCAAATAGACTGGCCCGGAAATTCTGATTTAAATCCAATCGAGAATCTGTGGTCAATCTGCAAGGAATGACTTTATGGAATGGACATACATGTGCACTGGGTCATTTTTCATTGGAAAAAATACACCTCTTATTTTTTCAGCTGCACTCTATTCACAGGCAGAGAGACAAATGAATTGTGATTTACCTGAAGATAGAGATGTAACTGAGATATGTCAATGATATGAACAGGACAAGTACACCATTGTATTTACTCATCTTCCTACAGTGACGATATAACATAAGGTTGGTTTCAAATGGGGCACCTAAGTGTGCACTCCCTGGCCAAGGCCAAAAATTGCCCAGCCCAAAAACTGTCGGTTTGGCTGGCATTGGTATTACTACTGATCCCCACTCTTTAGTGCAAGTGGTGGGGGGTTCCGATGGGAAGCTGTTTCCCAAAACCAGGAACCTCTCAATAGTTATTCAGTTGTGCTCTGTTCGCAGCCAGAGATGTAACTGAGAGTAGGAGTAGGACAAGTACCATTGACACTACTTTACGTAGAAAGCCTATACACAACATCTACTCATACAGTCACTTATGTGCCATGCATGATACATGCTTAAGCGATCATGTATCTTTTGATACATGACTGACCAGGCAGATTTTTTTCCTGCAGTAGGTTTCCATTTCTTTCTGTGGTAGACCAGTTACTATCCAAGGCTATAGAACCCGGTCTGTCCTGCTATTTATCGATAGCTGGTGGGAAAAGAAGTACAGAAGTTCAAATATCGGGAAAATATTTTAACAGAAGACGGAAATTGTGACATCGAATTCAAAAGGCGCATCTGATAAGCAAAAGATCCATTTCAAGAGGCTTCCATTTTACGTCGGTGATAAACCTGAAGCGAATATACATAAAAATGCATTCATCACATGCATATGGCTCTGTGTCGGGCCAGGAAATATTGCTGCTATATATTGTCTGGAGCCCATACTGTTTGTCTCAAGGTTCTGAATAAAATCCAGAGACGGATATGCAATGTAATTGACCCTGATCTGGCATTTCCTTTGTAGTCGCTCTCTCACAGACGCGTTGTCGCCTCTCTCTGTCTTTTTTACAAATACTTCCATGGTAATTGCTCCGATGAGTTGCTTTCGCTGGTTCCCAGATTTAATGAATTCAAGCGTTCAACTAGGCTGGCATCTCGCTCTCACCCTTTCACTGTTGAAACTGTTAAATATAGCCGTCTCTTCTACTCCAATAGCTTCATGTCTTGCACTTCTCGCCTGTGGAACTCCCTTCCCTTTTCCTGTTTCCCTGATAGCTATAATCTCCAACTATTCAAATGTAATGTCAATCGACGTCTCCAGATGCCTTGATCTATCCCCTATCTCTTCATCCTTTTCTCTATCACTCCTATTTGTTCTGGCTCTTTTGCGTGCTAGTGGCTTCCCGCATTGCTTGGGATGAAACGCTTATATATACACACACACAGACACACACACACATACACAAATATATATATATATATATATATATATATATATATATATACTAGCAGAACTTGTCGACGTTATCATGGTTTTTAATTTAATTTGTATTTAATGGTATTTAGATAATTTGTATTTAATAGAATTTTAAATACTATTAATTTGTCTATATTTCTGAGATGAGGTATTATGTACATTGTTTATATTATTCAGACTATTGTTCTCAGCTTTATCGCCATATTTATTACAACGTTTCGGCCGTTGTACGCTCTGGTCTTCTTCGGGTGGTTGGAATGTCGAACTGAACCCTTTATTTCGCTCACTGGCGTAGACTGTTCTAGTTCCATGTGCCATGTCTAATGGACGTCAGTTATCAGTTATCTCCTGTTAATTCCCCTCTGAAAGTTCTCCACTGCCTTATTGAACTCACACTCTTTGGGTCCTGTCACTCGATCTAACCAACGCCTTTATCCACTGTGCCATATGTCCTAGAGTTAATTTCGACATTCCAGCCACCTGAAGAAGATCAGAGCGTACAACGGCCGAAACGTTGTAATAAATATGGCGAAAAAGATGAGGACAATAGTCCGAATAATGTAAATAAAGCAAATGTGGCTTTTAAAAGGATTAAAATAATAATAGTAGTCAAAGAAACGATTACTGATATTAATATAGGTACCCTAGTATTGCAGTGAATAAGGAATAATTTCTTCACAGAAAATAGTTGACGTCAAGCAAGAGTTCTACAGTAGACTGCTGAGGATACATGGACAGAGCATTTAAGCAACTAGTAACATTTACGAAAACAAAAAGGTCACTTATATTGAGAATTAGAATGAGTTGAAAATTCTAGGAAGCATAATACGGAAAGAGGGATTGGAAAATTTGACACTCACCGGGCATATTGAAGGCAAAAGGGACAGAGGGAGATGTGGAGGGCCGTGATCGCCCCTTTCCTGAGCATTGTTTGCAAGATATCTTGAACGAAGAGTAGGATAAAAAAGATGCTGACCGGCTAACTTGATCCTTGAACATTGAAGCAAGTAGATACAGAATAATATTATATTTGAGGATAAGGAACAAAATCCCCCATGTCAATTAATGTAATTTACTTCTGTATTTTGGATAACGGAAAAGATTTATTGTGTTGGTCTTTCGTAAAAACGTGACCTAAAAGGAAATTTGGTAAAACAATAGAAACCTATACACACGCACACAGATGCATATATATATATGTATATAGAGAGAGAGAAATAGAGAGAGGCAGAGTGAGGGAGCGGGAGACAGAGAGAAAGAGGGCGAGAGAGGATGGAGAAGTCCAGACTGTCTGCAACTATAAATATTCTGTCTCTGATATTAAGCATCCTAACCTATAAATACATTAAATTGGTGTTAGCTGTGCCGTCAAAGATGACGGTAATTTTTGGAATGATTTAATAGTGAGATGCAATGAAACAAAACTCTTGAAACGATATATTGAGATTCAATAAAACGTAGATAAAGGATTCCCAACTATAAAAGAGGCCAATGAACCATTTAATTAATCCGTTCCCTTTATATATATTGAAACGTTCAATGGTATATATGATTCATTGATTACTCTTTGTATTATATAAAACGCCTTTTTTATATGTCTAATATAACAATGAAATAGAAATATCTCTCGTAAGCAATAGATTAGCAACAGAAAAACAAAGACAGCAACGATAAAGTCTATTTCCAAAACAAGCTGAAGCAAAAGGATCACTTAATAGACAAAGCTATTTGAGTGCCTC